GTTTCCAAGGAGCGACTAGTGGATTCAAACTGCTGACCCTTTGGTTAGCAGCCTGAGCTCTTAACCACTTTGCTGCCAGGGCTCTTGGGGGCTCTTCCAGCTGCTCATAGATGGATAGATTTATTTCTGCGTTCTGAATCTTGTTCCATTGGTCTATGTGTCTGTCATTGTACCAGGACCAGGCTGTTTTGGCTACTGTGGTTGTATCATTGGTTCTGAAATTGAGACATGTAAGGCCTCCTATTTTATTCTTTTTCTTCAATGTTTTACTTATCCGTGGCCTCTTTCCTTTCCATATAAAATTGATGATTAGTTTTTCCATCTTGTTAAAGAATGTTGTTGGAATTTGGATCAAGTTGCATTATATCTATAGATTGATTTATGTAGTACTTACATTTTCACAATGTTAAATCTTCTTATCCATGAGCCTGGTATGTTTTTCCATTTATGTAGGTCTCTGGTTTCTTGCAGTGGTGTTTTGTAGTTTTCTTTGTGTAAGTGTTTTATGTTCCTACTTAGATTTATTGCTATTTTATTGCAGGAGGGGGGTTATTGTAAATGGTATTATTTTTCCCACTTCCTTTTTGTAGTTCTCTTTGTTAGTGTACAGGAATCCAACTGATTTTTGTATGTTGATCTTGTACCCTGCCACTTTACTGAACCCTTCTATTAGTTCCAGTGGCTTTCTTGTGGAATCTCTGGGATTTTGTATATATAGGATCATATCATCTGTGAATAGGGATAGTTTTATCTCTTCCTTACCAAACTGGATGTCCTTTATTTCCCCTTCTTGCCTTATTGCTCTATCTAGGACTTCTAGTACTATATTGAATAAGAGTGGTCATAGTGGGCATCCATGTCTGGTTCTTGTGCTCAAGGGGAATGCTTTCAGTCTTTCTCTGTTGAGAATAATTTTGGCTGTTGGTTTTATATATATATATCCTTAATTATGTTGAGGAATTTCCCTTTGGTTCCTGTTTTGCTGAGAGTTTTTATTAGAAATGAGTGTTGGATTTTATCAAATGCCTTTTCTGCATTGATCGAGATGATCATGTGATTTTTCTCCTTTGTTTTAATTATGTGTTGGATTACATTTATTGATTTTCTAATGTTGAAGCATCCTTGCATACCTGGTATGAATTCCACTTGGTCATGATGTATTATTATTTTTTTTCATAATCTGCTGAATTCTCTTGGCTAGAATTTTATTGAGAGTTTTTGCAACTATATTCATGAGAGATATATTGGTCTGTAACTTTCTTTTTTTTTTTTTTTGATAGTGTCTTTTCCTGGTTTTGGCATTAGGGTTATGCTGGTTTCATAGAATGAATTTCATAGTATTACTTTCTTTTCTATACTCTAGAATAGTTTGAGTAGGATTAGTGTCAACTCTTCTCTGAATGTTTGGTAGAATTCTTTAGTGAAGTCATCCGAGCCCAGGGTTTTTTTCTTCCTGGGGGGGTATTGTTTAATGACCTCTTCAATTTCTTCTTTTGTTATTGGTCTGTTCAAATTTTCTGCCTCAGTTTGTGTTTGTTTAGGTAGGTAGTATGTTCCTAGAAATTTGTCCATTTCTTCTAGGATTTCAAATT